TACAGCTTTGATCATCCATCTAAAGTCTATTTGCATTAACTTTGCTAGGGTTTTGCGATCCAAAAAGTTAATGCTATTAAATGAAAATGAACACAAAGATTTTTGCAGTCACAACTTGGTATCACATGATTGTTATAATTATTTCATTTTTATTCACCTACTATCTTTGTTGCCAAACATAATTATTTCTATAATCGTTTAAATCTTTTTGCTTTTTCATTTATTTAATTCAACTATACTCATTGCCAAACATTAGATTCCCCAAAAAATGTAAGACTTGTTCTACTATGATTTCTGTATTCATGATATTTATGTAAGACATGTTCGATGATTAATAAATAACTAGGTGGGGGATCCGCGCTAAGCGCGGACTTGCGATACAAAGCTGATTACAAAAATTTATAAAGGTGATCATTGATAAGTAGGAGGTTTGTAAATTATATATAGTCTTTTGAAATAATATGTTCACTACAAGAAAAACACCGTTTTACAACGGCCAAAATCGTCCTAAGATGGTTGTAATAGCACTATTACGACGAACTAGCGACGGTTTCGAAATCGTCATAAAACCATCGTCGTAAAAGACATTTTGTCGTAAAATCGTCGTAACATCTAAGACGGTTATAATTCGTCATAACATCGACGTAAAAGGATTGTCGTAAACTTGTCGTAATGCTTACGACGACTGTACGTCGATTTGCCTCGATTTGGTTTTCAGCGTACCCGTCATAAAGTCGTCGTTAAAAACCGACATATGTTCGTCGTATAATATACGACGAATGATTCATCGTAATTCGATCGTAATTTTTTTTCTATTCGTCGTAAAACTGTCGTAAAACTTGGACGTATATTCGTCGTAATAAACGTCGTATAATATACAACAAACATTTGGTCGTAATTGTGTCGTACGCGTTACGACGAATTTACGATGATTTAATAAATTAATAATAAATATATTACGACAATTATACGACGTTTTTTATAAATGAAATTAAAAAAATATATATTTAATCCGAATTAAAAATTTAAATAGAAAAAAGAAATAATTTAAAATTTTAATTTTAATTAAAATTCAAAATAAAAAAATTATAATAATTACAAAAAAACCTAAAGATCTAAACCTAAACTAATGTCGTCGATCCCCTCATCGTCCTGCTCCGGATCCCCATCATGCTTCACATGTTCCTTGCCAGGTCTTCGGTTGGAGGCTTCCAACGCCTGATCCCCGGCTCTAGAAGGATCAACTCCGAGAGACCGGAACATCTCCTCGTCCGTCTGCACCGGTGGTTACCTCCTAGAAGATGAAGAAGATCCCCCGACAACTCCAGCTGCCCGCAACCTGTCCAACTGCGCCATGAGCAACGGATTCGGCCCCCATAATCTCGAAGAGACCGTACAACCGGTCGATCTTCGTCTCATACTAAGTCCGCATCTGATGGATATCCTAGTGGATAAGCGGATCCTCTGCCTGGACATGACCAGTCGCCGTAGCGATTGGGGTATCACGGATGGATCCCATCCCTAAAACCCGGCCCTTCTTCTTAGGGGCAACCTGAAAATATGTAGAAAACATATGTAAAAAAGTACAATATAAAGTTAAAATTTAACTAAATAGGAAAAAGAATACACTTACCTCTTCGAAGATCTGGTCCATCTCCGCCACCGTCAGCGTCGGGGTGGATTGGACCGAGCTACCTCCAGGAGACGTCGGAGGCGCCTGCTGAGTGACCTGCGTCTGCCGCTCCTCGATCTGCGCACAGGCGGCGTTGTAGATCTCCTCCGCCCGAGGATCCGTGAATTCGCCGATCTTCTTCTTATGGGTCTCGGCGAAGACCTTCGTCATCGGAGGAAGTTCTCCCCCGTTTTCTTCGACCTACAAAATCAAAGTGAAATTATTAATAAGAGAAATAAGAATTATTTAAAAACAAAAACTCATTAATAGAAATTTACCATCATAAGTCGTCTCTCAGCGAAAGGAATCTGACCGGAAGTGTGCGGGAGGTTTTTTCGATTTTTCGCATCGTCAGTAGCGTTCCTGAAAAATATAGTAATTAGTATTGTAATTATTAATTAAACCTATATAATATTATATTTTAAATACCTATTTTAATTTAATTTACAAAAATACCTGGATGTGGAACACTTGGCAGCAGTAGTCTGGTTGTGTGGGGTCAACCAATATTGCACCAGACCCCCCCAGACGGTATCGGCCATTGGCGCCGGCTTGGCCTTGTTGCCGTCGACCTCCCATTTCCGCTTCCAGTCGGCAACGGTGTTGTTGAGGCGGAAGTTGACCTTCTCTTTGAAGGCCGCCTCCACACGTCCGTGTGTGGAAGGTTCCCAATGCCAGTTTTGCTAGGAAAAAAAAAACAAAGAGTTAGTAATTATTATAAAAAATAAAAAATACTAATATAAATCATAATTTTAAATAACTTACCGCGAAACAGTTAAACGAAGTGCAATAGTTGCCTGATCCAGCTTCTTCCAGCTGTTATGGGGTTGTACAAAAAACCCTTTGAAGATGTCGGCAATGTTACGACCGACTGCGTTGTGGGTCGTAAACCTAGTCAGTAAAAAAAAAATTAGTTAGATATTTCAATTACTTATAAATATTACTCTTTTAAAAAAAATTGAAAAAAAAAAATAAAATTCGTACCAAAATGTCCCCGGGGCTCGATCCGGATCGAGTTTCTTCATACTCTCACGACTCGGTTGTCATAGAAGATCCTGAACCATAAATTGGGCATACGGTTCAGGCTGTATCGGTGCTGCGGCTGGTGCTGGTGCTGCTGGTTCGGCTGGTGGTGGTAGAGGCGGTGTAGACTGTGGTGGGGGACCATGTAGCTGAGGCGGACGGAGCGGTACCGTCCGGATCTACCATCTCCCGGTAGTAGAACCTCTTTGTCCGGGTAGCCATCTGAATAATCTACAAAATTAAATGAAATATAATTACTAATTATATAATTTATTTCTAAATTCCGGGCCTATCTAAATTCCGAATCTAACTAATTCCCCTAATTATTTCTATTTAAGGATTAAAATTTAAACAAAATATAAATTATAATGAAAAAACTTTTTAAAAAACTTACAAATTAAAGCTGGAGAGGAGGGAGAGGAGGGAGAGCTAGAGAGAGAGAGAGTTTTTGTAGAGAGAGAGAGAGAAATAGGAATGAGCGACGAAGGAGGAAAACTCGCGTTCCTTATATAGATTTTGTGATCGTCGTAAAATCGTCTTAACGTTACGACGATTTTACGACGATTTGGTTGTATAACCATCGTACCAGTGCATGACACGACACGTGTCCTGTTCACAGATTTTGAGCATTACGACAGTTTTACGACAAATGTTCATTAAACCGTCGTAAAACCGTCGTAATAGGCCAATATTTATAGCCTCATACCTCGGATATGGAGCCAATCCGGCGGCTGTTAGATGTATGATCATTATCAACGTTATTACGATTTAACAACAGTTTAATGAACATTCGTCGTAAAACCGTCGTAATGTTACGACCCTTGTACGATGGTTTTACGATGTTTTTTTAAAAAGTTATCAAACTCTAAATCTTTCAAAAGGCTTATTGCATAAAGAACAACGCAATGCTTATTTTATACTAACATATAACAATAGGTTCATAACTTTACATGTATGACGGGTTTAGTACATGAGAGAAAAAATATTGAAATCATCTTATCTAATATATAACCTTTTATTTAACATTTACAAAAACATGCATGAAGTTGTAAATATGTATGTTTTTTCCAAATTTCTGATTTTGATCAGATGGAATACTTTTCATATAAAATAAGTTAACCTATCAAAAACATTTCTGAAATAGCTAAAAACCAATCAGATATAAAAGATTCAAAATCTTGGATTTCAAGCTTACGACGATTTTACGACGATTTCAATACTTAAACCCTATTCATTCAGGGTATAAGACCTAAACTTGGGGTTTAGAGTTCCCAAAAATCATCGTAAAACCGTCGTAAAGTCGTTATTTTTATCAGTAAAAAAATACAAACAAACACAGTTACAAATTACATAATAACAAGCATTCACTAAAAACATGCATGAAAATCAGTCAGATTCATTTTCTTCTAGCTCTTCGTCACCATCACCGTCGTCTTCCGCCAAATCGTCATCATCGATTTCAGCAAACTCATCATCACCTTCTTCTTCTGTATCATCGGGAAGATCTTCAACTTGCCTGTTCTGAGGGTCAATTAAGAAAATCTCCTCATCAACATCTGGTTCAGTCAGATCTACGCAAGTGTCCTGTTGCAGTGGAACATCCTCAACCCCTACAATCTTGCCCCTTGGAGCCACTTTAACTACTGCTAACCATGAGATTCCTGTTGATCAAACTCGGGTGTATGGCAGAAATGTGACCTGTTCCGCTTGAGAAGCTAATATAATTGGCTCAAACCTGTTGTACCGTCGTGATTTGTTCACGTCAACAACTCCAAACTTGTTTAGACGTACCCTTCTTCCAACAGTTAGATCAAACCAATCACATTTGAAGAGAATAATTTTCAGCCTTAACAATCCAGGATACTCCACTACAATTATTTCTTGCAGAACTCCATAAAAATCTGTTTCACCCCTCACACAAATTCCATAGTTAGTTGTCGCCCGCTTTGCACCGTGACTGTATGTGTGAAAAACATAGCTCCGAGTGAAATACATCGAGGCTGTCGTTATTTTTGCCATCGGACCTAGTAGTAACTCATGGAACCACGTTGGAAATTCATCCGGATCATTCGGGTCCACCTAATCAGAAAAAATCTTGCTTTAATTTCTTGATTTTGCAAATATACATGCAA